ACTGATGCAGTTTCTCCTATTGCCCAACATATCACTTGTGTCTTGTTCAGTTACCGAAGTCTGCACATTTTTGCAGCATACATAGTTTTGTGAGTTAAGCACACGAGACACAGAAGTGGTGTTCCAGAACGTTTATTCAACGATTCCCTATACAAAATGTTTAGGAGGCAGCGGCCTGCACAGCCTGGCCCCTCTGCACAGACACCCTGGTGTGAGTCTTGGCCAGATGGTCAGTGAACTCCTGGAACAAAAAGCAGAAAGCCTGGTTACACAAAATCCTGACATAACCATAACAGCTCATGTTGGCTCTGTACAGACCTGGTAGGGAGACTTTGTGAAGACTGTCTCCTTCCACAGATCAGGGGTCAGGTAGCTGTAAGTCTTGGAGATGGCGTCAAAGGTGGCCTTGGCTGAGGAAGGAATTATAAAGAGTAAGTGTGTGTAGCATGGCGCTCCAGTAACAAAGTACAACAGTCTTGTTGGGGGTAAAAAAATGTTGAGCATTGTAAAAGGGTAACAGGGAAGACCACTAAAACGTCTCCCTGCCGTGCAATACTCAATTCTTTCTCTCCTTTTAACGACAACTACACCACTGCCGAGGTGAAGCTGGGCAGAGCGAGGAGAAACAACCCCCGCCCCCCACCCAAATACAGTATGCAGATCATGACCCTGGGAGAAGCTTACCAAAGTTGCCGAGGGTGGCGGTGCAGCCCCTGGCAGAGGTGTAGCAATCATCGATTCCAGCCATCATGAGCAGCTTCTTGGGCACTGGGGCAGACACGATGCCGGTACCACGGGGGGCTGGAATGAGACGCACCAGGACAGAGCCGCAGCGGCCAGTCACCTTGCAGGGCACAGTGTGGGGTTTGCCGATTTTGTTACCCCAGTAACCCCTTCTGACAGGGACGATAGACAGCTTGGCCAGGATGATGGCCCCACGGATGGCTGTGGCCACCTCCTTGGAGCACTTCACCCCCAGGCCCACGTGGCCGTTGTAGTCACCAATGGCAACAAAGGCCTGTAGACAAAAAGCAAAAGGCACACAGTGTTAGGCTTAGACAACGCTGATTAACAGGAGAAAAAAAAACAAAACACCTTTCTCCTTTGCAAAGGAATCCACACTCACCTTGAACCTGGTGCGCTGACCAGCCCTGGTCTGCTTCTGGACGGGCATGATCTTCAGCACCTCGTCTTTAAGACCAGAACCCAGGAAGAAGTCGATGATCTCAGACTCCTACAGGAAAAGGAGTAAGCATTGAGGGGTTTACATCACAACAGAAACTGCAGTTCATTCAGACATTTCCACAAGACAAGTAAAATAAAATAAAATATGATTGTTTATGTATGTGAACTGTAGTTACCTTGATGGGCAGAGAGTACAGATAGATCTCCTCCAGGGACTTGATCTTCATGTCCTTAACCAGGCGGCCCAGCTTGGTGACCGGCACCCACTATGACAGGAAAGAAACTCAAGTAAACTACAAAAAGCCAAAATACTAAGTGCTTATGTTCAAAACACTTATTAATCCAAAAACCTACCTCCTTGTCCTCGGACTTGCCGCCCCGTGCACCGCGGCCCCTGCCACGGCCTCTGCCGCGTCCACGGCCCCGACCGCGGCCACCGGCGCCAAAACCTCCGCGAAAACCTCCTCTACCACCGGCGTCGTCCGCCATTTGCTACACGACAAGAAAACAACAAAGACGTTTAGTTATTTATCCCCCAAAATACGGACATGCTTACCGAAATTCAGTCTTACGGGACACGAGTATCGCCGCCATATTCATACAAGCAAACTACAAATATTTCCATCTGTATTCAAATTCGCTGTTAAATAGGTCTGGGATTTTAATTTAATATGTTCATATATGATCTTATAATCAGCTCTGAAGTGTCTGACTGAACGATGCGTGAGATTTTTAAGGATATAAACTAGGAAGAGAAACGCAACAGCACACTTACGTGATCGACAAAACAGGAAGAAGGCCTGTGAAAGGTTCCGCCGGGTTATATGCTAAAGTTTTATCGCGAGATTTACTCCACGAGAAAACCTACTCTCTACCGCCTCTACCGAATAACTGAGACAGATTTTATATTTGCTTACTAAAAACACAGTTCTTAAAAAATCAATTATAATAAAATCAAAACGCACTCTTTTAAAATCCATTTTAAGTGTTCATTTAATTAATCTGTTTATTCTGTAAACATACTTTAATTGGTTTTTAATTATCTAGTGAAATGTAATAATAACACATTAGAATAGAATAGAATAGAATAGAATAGAATAGAATAGAATAGAATAATCCTTTAATTGTCCCACAAGGGGAAATTTGGTTGTATCAGCAGCAAAAAACACACATATACAAAAAAGAACAGGACACAGAGCAGAAAACAATTTTTACATATTTACATCATAGACAAAAGTTACCAGAGCAGAGTACAGTACAGTTGTTAAAATTAGAGTACAGATAGTGTGCAAACAGAGCAGGATACTGAAAGATGTTTAAATAGTTAAGAATATTTAGAATAATTAGAAAAGTTAGAAAAGTGCAGATTGTGTATTGTACCTGTGCATTAAAAAGTAGACATGTAACTTCCAATAAGTTAGTGTATGTATAAGCTGAGAAAAGTAATGTGCGATTATAACAGTTGAAGTTGTTACAGCACTGATGTAAACATCTATGTTTGTTGCGAACAGTTTTGATTGTACAGTCTGACAGCTGCAGGGAGGAAGAACCTACAGAAACGCTCCTTCATGCATCTAGGATGCAGCAGTCTGTCACTGAAGGAGCTCTGCAGTTCAGCAACATTTACATGCATGGGGTGGGAGACTCTGTCCGTCAGAGATGTTATTTTGGCCAGAGTCCTTCTGTCTCCTACCACCTGCACTGGGTCCAGAGTGCACCCCAGAACAGAGCTGGCCTTCCTAAAGAGTTTATCCAACCTCTTCCTCTCAGCTGTCGATAAACTGCTGCTCCAACATACCACACTGTAAAAATTGACGGATGCCACCACAGAGTCATAGAAAGTCTTTAAAAGCGCTACCTGAACTCCAAATGACCTCAGCCGCCTCAGCAGGTAGAGGCTGGTCTGACCCTTTCTGTACAGAGCATCAGTGTTGTGGCTCCAGTCCAGTTTATTATTCAGGTGAACAACCAGGTACCTACACGAGCCCACTATCTCAATGTCCACTCCCTGGATGTTCAAAGGTGTCAGTGTGGTGGGTCTGCGTCTCTGGAAGTCTACCACCAACTCCTTGGTTTTCCCAGCGTTGATCAGCAGGTGGTTCTGCTGACACCAGTCCTCAAAGTCCAGAGTCCACTGTCTGTACTCTGAGTCATCCTCACCTGTGATGAAGCCAACTATGGCAGAGTCGTCAGAGAACTTCTGTAGGTGGCAGCGTGGGGAGTTGATGGAGAAGTCTGCAGTGTAGAAGGTGAAGAGGAACGGTGCCAGCAAAGTTCCCTGTGGGGCCCCCGTACTGCAGACCAGCATATCAGAGACACAGCCCTGTGTCCTTACATACTGTGGGCGTTCTGTGAGGTAGTCCAGTCTCCACTGGGACATGTGTTGGTCCACTCCCGATAGCTCCAGCTTGTTCCTCAGAAGTCGTGGCTGGATGGTGTTGAAAGCACTGGAGAAATCAAAGAACATGATCCTCACAGTGCTTCCAGGCTTCTCCAGGTGAGCCAGAGCTCGGTGCAGGAGGTAGACCTGCACCGGGACTTATGTAGTCAAATTTAGAAATACAAGCCTGGCCTTAGTTCATCTGTGAGATTTCAATGAAATACCTTTATCAGTTGATCTATTTAAATAAGACCAGCACAGGTAATAATAACAATGTAAAAGCTTTATTTACAAAATAGGTTAAACAGGTTACATTGCAACCTGGCAAAAAACAAAACAAAAACACTAATCAGATGCCTACAGTACCATGAAAAGTATTTTCCTTCATTCCTATATTTCTCTCACTCTTTTTTTTCTTTTTTGATATTTGTCACGCTTACATGTTCCGGCTCATCAAACAAATTTTAACATTAATTTCTATATAAACAATAACCTGACCCAGGTTATCGTTTATATGACAATAGGTTATATAAACGATATAACAATAACCATAACCCAAGTACGCTTAGGCTTCATTTCATGAAATAATGGCAAGACATTCAGGATTTTCCGGCAGAGAGCAGACTTCTTGGTTACATCAGCTATAGCAAGTCGTCCAGGTCCTGAAGCAGCAAAAGGGTCACAGACCATCATACTAACACCACCGTATTTGACGGTCAGTATGATCTTTTTATGAAATGCTGTGGTAGGCTCACGCCAGATGTATCAGGACACAAACCTTCCAAAAAACTTTTTTCATTGACCTTAGCTGAAGCAAGTGGGGCCTGCAGTTCTTTAGATGTTGTTCTCGGTCCTTTTTATAACCTCTTGAATGAGTCGTCAATCATCTCTTGGAATTCACCACTGTTTTGAGTTTTCTCTGTTTGTCTAAAATGCTTCTCACCGTGGTTCACTGGAGTCCCAAAGCCTCAGACATGGCTTTGTAACCCTTTCCAGACTGATGGATGTTAGTGACTTTGTTTCTGTTCTTGCAGTTTTGTTTGTTTTTTTTAGATTAGAGCCTTTATTTGTGTGAATGCTGAAATTGACCTCAGCTTCACAAAAATGTGGTTAATCACAGTGAATTCATAAATTAACAAGAGAAGAATGACTTTTTCATACAGGTCAGGTAGGTTTGGCTTTTTTTTTTTACCTCAGAAAATGAAATCATCATTTAAAAACTGCATTTTGTATTCACTCAGGTTATCTTTTTCTAATATTAAAAACGTGTTTTTTATTGGAAACAAAATATGCAAAAACTATTAAAATCAGGAAGAGGGCAAATACTTTTTCACAGTACTGCATATACTCAAAACACACACCTTCAAAGAATTAAACACATACTGAATTTATACACAGCAGTAGCTCAACCAGCACCAGCAACTAACTCCCTTCCTCAGCAGCTGCTGCTGCTACTTGGAGTCCCACTGGAGCTGCCACTACTCTCCCCAAGGTCCTCCTCTTCCACCTCATGCAGATCATCCATCACCTCCAGACTCTCACAGATAAGCCCTATCTGCCTTTTCATGTGGGCCATGGTGCTCTGCATCCTCCTCATCTTCCGCTGTAGGGCGGTGGCAATGGCCCTGTGATTCCTCTGCCTAGCTTCGTACTCCTGCCTCAACTGCTTGTAGCAGTTGTGTTGAGCCTGGGTTCGGTGGGAGAGTATCGTCCCACAACCCATGTGGCAAGGCTGGCGCCAGTGCTCACAGTGGTGCGCATGGGTCTCGAGGTCCCTGCGGAGGAGCTGTACCCTGCAGCCCTGGTAGGGGCAGGGGATTAGCTCATACAAACAGCTCATGCTGTGGCAGTACTGCTCTGAGAGGGGAAAGGTCTCTGCACAGCCGCGGATCTCATTCTTGCACTGTGAGACACACAGAAAAAATCATATAGTTAATAAAATGACTTGTGTTATAAATGTGCTATAAATCGGTCTGCAGGAATTGAGATAGAAGCTAATCCAAGCCATAGACGACTGAAAACAAAACAATTCTGATGCACAACCTAATCATTTCAGTCATTTATCAAGCAAAAATGTCAGCTTGGAATTATATTTTTTGCTTTCCTCCATCTCAAATAAGTCATCTTGGGCTCAGAGAATTTGTCTTGATGATGTCCTTATTATTAATAACTTAATAAAAACAGTCACAAATAAATATGTCCCATGAAGTGGTTCACACATGAAAATGCCAGGCAGCATCAGGCAAATACAAATGTATCCACTCTGTTTGGGCTCATAGAAAATCATGTAAAAATGTGTTCAAATTCCCTTTCCCACCTTGATCTTGAGGCGTCCAATAGATTTGCTTAGCTTGAACATGACAAAGATCAAGCTTGGGTTCACCGGCTTCCTGCAGCAGGGGCAGGTCTCCTGTCTGCAGAGGACAACTAGGAATGAGTCTCTGACCAAATAAAAAAGCCAGGTAAAACTTTTGTCCAAGGATACTGATAAGATACATTCAGTACCTTTTTAGCCACTGCAAGATGCATTTCTTGCAGAAAATGTGGTGGCACGCAGCTCTTACTGGACATCTGAGGACCCCTTGGCATATGGTGCAGATCAGATCATAGTCTGGAGTGTCCACAAACAGCTCCACATCATAACCCCCGCTCTGTGTTGACACCTCTGGGTCTGCCTAGATGTGGCCACAGTGTGTAGAAAAAACAGTATCTTATATTTCAGATATACCTGAGACTGAAAACCATGCCTCTGTGACTGTCTATAACCTCTCCACAGTGTTCTCAAAATAAAAAAAAAGAGAGACAACAAAACAGAGCTGTTCTGGAAAGCCATATGACTGATCACATGATCACAAGTCTGCTCCCTTTCCAAAAATCTTTTTTTCTAACACACAAAACATTAAACAATGACAAAAAAAGATCTGAAATTGTCCTCAATGGTATTTTTACTTTGTTAAAGTACAACATATAATAAAAATGCCACAATACTCATGTATTAGTATACAATTCAAATACCAAGCAAATAATAGAGTTGATTCTGGCTATATACACAATCTGTTTTTGACCTACTGAGCATCAGTCCATAAATCTGAGATTCTAAATCTAGATTAAAATACAAAAAATCATACAAATAAATAAATATAAAACACACGCCAAAACAAAAAGCTGCCCTCTACTCACCATGGCAAGCTCCTGTTTTATTTTTCTCAGCGTGTTTCCATAACCCGGGGGGCTGGTTTTACTGCATATCGATCCTCTCATATGTCACATAAGTAACACACACCCGCGTTATCAATACAACACGCGTGAACATTCCTGACTAAACAACGGAGGGACCGCGTGTGTGCGCGCGCGCTCGACAGATGAAAACAGTGGGCTAAACTGTAGAATCGAAGCCATAATGGGAGAGCGTCGTTTCCCTGCTGTTCTAGCACCAAACTCATGGTTCACACGGCTGCTATTGTTGTGATACTCAGGAACTACATTATTTATAAATAAATAAATAAATAAATAAACTATAAGCATATAGATCTGATTATTTTCCCTTGCTTCATATAAAGTTTACTGTCAAAATTAAAAGTTTAAAAACCACCAGTTTGGTGTTTGTGCGTTCATTTGTTGACAACAGAAGTCTGACCAATCACCGCGACGTGCGCTCAGATGACGTGCAACGTGTGCGACCCTGCCGTCAACATGCGGGATGGATGGCGGTGTTGACTGTAGCCAACGTGTGACATGAGAAATAAGTAGTATACGCCGCCTGTACTCTCTACATCACTTCTTTTTTGGGCCATTTCTCACGGGCAAGATGGCAAATACCAACCTTCAGTTCAAAACCAAGTGAGTTTTACTTTCTGCACGTGTGAGCTGGAGATCATGTAGCAAGCTAACACGAGCTAGGCTAAGGTGTTATATGAAGTTGTTGAATCCACTGTTGCCGTTTTCTTGTTCCTTTACAGTTATGCTGTTTCCAGCAAGATCGAGCCATTTTACAAAGGGGGGAAAGTGCAGGTGGGTGCTCGGCTTTGATGTGTGTGTGTGTGTGTGTGTGAAGCTTCTATTAATGTCTTTTGTGACACTTTAGACACTTTTGTAACAATGCGCTGGTATAAAGTTGAGCGAATTGCACAAGGTATACAGGAAGTGCAGCAAAATCAAGAAAGTCCTGACTTTGTTTCTTGATAATCATGACAAACAGATGTTTTCAGAGTCTCACACATCTGTTTTAAGTCTGTATGACAATAACCAAGATTACCTTAAATCTGACCTCTCCCCTTTTTTTCCAGATCAGCAAAGATGAGAAATACATCTTTTGCACCTGTGGCTCTCGAGTCAATGTTTTGGAGATCAGCACTGGGAAGATCATTCACTGTGTTGAGCATGTGAGTTCAGCATCTAACATCAGGGGTGGGCAGTTTATTTTTACCAGAGGGCCACATGAGAACCTGTGTCTCTTGTGGAGGGCTGCGCCAAAAAAGTTGAACTGACTTCAGCTTGGCATTTCTTTCATTTTGTATAAACTGCTCCCAGTAAAAGTAGATGTTACAACGGGGCAATAATGATGAGAATTAGGTTAACTAAAAGCACAGACATTTTTTCACTGTTTATTCAACATCCCCAGAGATGGCTGTGAACAAAATGTGCATGTTTGTTCAACATTTAAAAGACTTTAAACTTGCAGCTGTAGTTTAATAACTTCATCTGCATTTGTTGATTTCTTGTTGAGTGATGGAAATCTAGTTCTGTTTTGGACTTGAACAAGTGCATTACAGTCAAGTTCTGTGTCCAAGGTTGAAATGTGAAGAGCAGCAGACAGGTGATCTCAGCAGACAGAACATCATCTGGATTTGTTAAACTTCCATCATTCAGAGTTTTTGTTCACAGTGTGATTCAGCTCTTTTGCTTTGGGGAAGTTAACTATTTTAGTTATATCTACAACATGGTTAATTTGTAGCTGTGACTTATACAACACCTCCTGGTGTCTGATTCAGTGGGAAAATACCAATTTCAGTCACTCTTTTCCTTCACCTGTCATTGTTCCTGTCACATTTAGATAGCCATCGGTTGTAATGCCTGCCAGTTTGTCCCATGGCAGAAACACCCTATGTGTGCAGTTACCTCCATGAAGAAATCACTCCCTGTCTTAGTGCCTTGCTGCTCTGTAATATACAAAGAAGACTAACCAGGTTGTGTCGCAGACATCCCAGCTCTCGATCAGAGCCAAAGAGATAAAGTCCAAATTGTCCGCTTACCTTTTTAACCGAAAAATTAAGATTTTCCTCAGTGTCCTCAATCCCTCTTGTTACAGTTTACCTCTCCAGGTAAACTGTAACAAGAGGGATCTCAAATGCTTCTTTTTATCTCAGCGCATATTAGCACAGCAGTGCACCAAACACTCTTTCATAAACTCCCAGTCAGAGAATGAGATACTGTGTTTTGGGGGTTTTTTTGTTTTGTTTTTTTTGCGATTTTGTGAGAAACCACAAAGCGGATCCTCATTGCTCCATCCCTGCTGGACGTGTAAAACATCTCATAAACCTTCATAAACATCTGCTCTAGTATGTTTACAGTGAATCTGCATTCTCATGCACATCTAACAATTGAAAAATCTCTAGTTTCATCTTGGAAAGAGATCCAAATTGCTTTGGGGTTACATCATGAAGGGCATCTAGCCCAAATGATCTGCCAAATTAAACAGCACTGCCTGCTGTGATGAGCCTTTGTCTCACAGAAACCTTGGCTACTGCATCTTTACTGTCTTTATATCAACAACCTCATTCTAACTATTGCCATTGGTGATTTATCAGTCTTCTTTCTTTTTGTGAATAAAATGTACTTCCATGTTTCCTGTCTGAATATTTTGTTGTTGTTTTTTCTCCGGTAGGATGATCAAGAGGACATCACGTCATTTGCTCTCAGCTGTGATGATGAGGTACAGAAATGCCTGAGTCACTTCTCATTAGATCAGTCACATTTGTGTTTTCAGTATTTTCAGCTGTCACCCTGTACAACAGGACTCAGTTGGTCTTTGCTTCGTGTCTCTCCACAGATGCTGGTAACAGCCAGCCGGGCGCTGCTGCTTAAGCAGTGGGATTGGAGGCAGGCTAACTGCACTCGGTCCTGGAGGGCTATTCACACTGTTCCCGTAGCTAGTATGACCTTTGACTCCACCTCTACTCTCCTAGCCACAGGTCAGCTACCACATGATTTATTAAAAAGAAAAGCTTCTCCCTGATATCTGCTGTGTGTGTGTGTATATATATATATATATATATATATATATATATATATGTTTCTATTTATTTACCTGCAGGTGGCTGTGATGGCACAATAAAACTTTGGGATGTGGTGAAGCAGTATTGCACTCATAACCTGAAAGGGTCATCTGGTGTTGTACAGTAAGTCTCAGGCTCTCATCTTAAAATGATGTATATTCGTATATCATACCATTTTTCTGCTGCTTATCTGGGTCTGGGCTGCAGGGGCAGGAAACTAAACAGGTACAAAGGCGCTTCCAAGCCAGCATGTCCTGGGCCTGTCTCAGGGCCTCCTTCTTCCCAGTAGGACATGCCCAGGACATGCTGGAGAGATGACATTTCTCATCTGGATTGGAAATGCCATCCTGATCAGTTGCCCAAACCACCTCAACTGGCTTTTATACTCAGTGCACTCTTTTACACAGCAGATTGGTACAGTGTCTGTGATGGACACTATTGCCGCACCAGTCCATCTGTCAGTCTTCCACTCAGCTCTTCCTTCTCTCATGAACTGGACTCACAATTATTTTAATGTGATAACTTAAAAGAGGCAATGTGGAAGTTTCAAATTGATACCAATGGGTTTATCTACCAGGAGGTTGAGAGGTAGCACTGGTGGCTGCCAGTATTTTTTACAAATGCTCATATGTAGCAGGATTTAACAATAATATGAAGAAACTAGAAACAAAGGAAATATTTTGTGTCTTTGTGCAGTTTGGTCCAGTTCCACCCAAATACCGACCTGCTGCAGCTTTTCTCCTCCTCTTTGGACTGTGGCATCCGGATATGGGACCTGCGCTCCAGCCAGTGTGTGTGTGTCCTGCAGAGCCACTACAGTGCTGTGACATCTCTCAGCTTCAGTCCCGATGGTAACGCCATGGTCAGGTACTGTGATATTTTAAATCAACCTCAGACTCCTTTTTGTTTGTGTAGCGCTGTGTGTTAAAGTCCTGTGCTCTTTCAGTTCTGGCAGAGACAAGATCTGCACAGTTTGGGACCTGAAAACTCGCAAAGCCAAGAGAACTGTTCCAGTCTATGAGGTAAGCTCGTCAATTTAGATTCATTTTAACTTAAATACATTTTGTGCTCTTCATTTGGGGAGAAAACTGGAGCTTTATTTGTGTGTATGTGATCTTACAGGCTGTGGAGGGTGTTATAATTCTTCCTGGAAGTACAGACTTGGCTGAGATCAGAGTAAAGAGCAAGGACTTGCATTTCATCACAGCTGGAAGCAAAGGTCTGGCTGCTAAATACCGTATTTTCACGACCATAAGGCGCACTGTGCTAAAAGGCGCAGTCTCAGTTATGTGTGCCCTTACTGTATTTAACACACACATAAGGCGCACTGGACCATAGGGCGCATACAAGTACCGTATGCGTATTTAAAAATAAAGCGGGAGCAAACCTGAATTCGGTACCTTACTCACATTTCTATTGCCGGTAATCGTCATCATCAACAACACACAAGCATACAAGTGTGCGTATTTAAAAATAAAGCAGGAGCAAAACAAAGTTTGGTACTCACATTTTTATCATCAATCAAACCCATGGAAGTCCTCATCCTCTGTGTCTGAATTGAACAGCTGCGCTAAATCTCCATCAAACATGCCAGGTTCACTTTCTTCACCGTCAGAGTCACTTTCCGTGCCGTGCGGCTCCTCGGAAATGATGCCGGCTTTTGCGAAAGCTCGAACAACAGTGCCAGCAGACATGTTAGCCCAAGCATCTACAATCCATTGGCAAATTGTGGCGTAACTCGCCCGGCGCTGCCTTCCACTCTTAGTGAAACTGTGGTCTCCACCGGTCATCCATCGCTCCCAGGCCGCTCGCAGCCTTACTTTGAACGGGCGGTTCACACCGATGTCCAGCGGTTGGAGTTCCTTTGTCAGGCCTCCCGGAATGACAGCAAGCTCACAGTTCATTTGCTTCACAAGTTTTTTCACATCGGCTGTGAGATGGGCACGCATAGAGTCACAGATCAACAGCGAT